GTATTTTGGCCCAAGGATGCCTCCCGATTCTTGAGGGTGCGGAAGAATCTGTTACGACTATCTGCAGATGCCGCAAGGATTCTTTTCGGTTTCCTGAGGATTCCGCAAGGATGCCGACGGATTTCTTGAGGAGTCCTGAGTCTTCAAGTTGGAATTGGTACCATGTGGTCGGTTCCCGACTAGAGAAAGTTGGGTTTCACATTGGCTGGTGAGGATCCGCCCTGCTTCCTCCCCCCCCTCCCCCTTCTGCTCCTCATCCGCCCGCCACATGTCCCTGTCCTGTCCTGTCGTCGTCGTCATCGTCGTCGTCGTCGTCCTCTTCTCCCCCCCGTGAAAGTTGTACTTCGCCTGCAGAGGGTTATAGGACGTTTTCCGGTCCCCGCGTCGCGTTCGTCGAGGACAGATGAAAGCGAGACAGTGCAGTTCGGTTTTGTGGGGCATTGGGTGCATCCCCACGGCTGACATCGGCGCGGTGCTTTCTCCACTTGGTCGTCCACCTGCCCCGCCCAAGCGAAGACATGTCTGACTCCGTACTCGGATGTACTTTGTATTCTCACGCGCGGCCCGCCACTTGCTGCGATGGAACGTGGCCTCGAATGCTCAGCGCCCGCTGCGCTGCAAGAGAAAGAGCCCATGTTTCTCTCTTCGCCCCGCTCTCGCCCACCCCTTTGCCCCTCATCCCTCTCTACGCCAGAGCCCCACCTCTGCGTGGCCCGCCTGCCTCCCTCGCGGCCCAGCTCCCTTTCTGCCCAGTGGTCAGGCAGCGTGGCTCGTCCAGCCGGGTCGGGAGCGCAGGAGACCAGTTCGGACGTGCTGGTGGGCGGGATCCTCCTCCATCTCTTGGTTCGCGCGGTGGTGCCGTCCTGGCTACTCGTCCTGGTCGCATCTCCTCGCGCTCGAACTCGGCTACGTCTTGCCTGTCCCCAGGCCTCGGCGTCGGTTCTGCTCTTGCTGTTCAAGGCGTGGGCACCCGTCCCCTGGAAGCGTTCTTGCGGTGCGGGTCTTTCCTGGACGTTCCCGGGGCCCGAAGGCGCCCTTCCCCCCCTCAGAGACCCCCCCCACCCCAGAGAGCCAGCACCTGCAGCGTTTGGGCCGATGTATTTTTTTCAGTCGCGACGACGCCTGCAGTTCGACCATGGTGCGGTCCTCTCCTCCTGTTCCTGGGCTGCCCCTCTCTGCCTGGCCTGCCTTGACGCGCCTCTCCTGGCCGTGTCCCAGAGTTGGCCCCAGTGAGGTATTCGTTTGGCCTGGGCGAGGCTGCGTCGCGGCCCGAGTCTGCTATCGCTCGGGCGATTCCCAGGGTCAAGCGCTCCGGTTTTAGTTGTTCGTGTCGGAGACTTCCTCGTGGCCTGCCGACCCCAGTTTACCCCTTCTTTGACACGTGTTCGTGATCTGTTTGGCCCTAGTTTCCCGTGCTTGACCCTCGTTTAACCCTAGCTCGACCCTAGTTTGAACCTCGTTTCCTGTGTTCGTGGTCTTTTTTACCCCTAGGTTGACTCTAGCTCGGCTCTGGTTCGACTGAAGCTCGGCTCGAGTTGCGACCCTGGGCGACGGGCGTTCGACGCAGGAGGTCGACGCACGAGGGGAGCGGATGGCTCGTTGAGTGCCCCCAGGACGAGAGTCCAGAGTTCCCTCGCCGAGCTCCCTGGCTCCCCAGACCCCCGTGGTCATGATTTGCTCACGACGTTGACCCCCAGAGGTATCGTTCGGTGGCTAGTCATGAAAGCATACCGTACCCGTTCAATTCCGTCTTTGGCGTCGACTCGCGTCAACTAGCGCCGATTGGCGTCCATCAGCGTTTTTGTGAGTCGATGAGATAGCGCCGAATTAGCATCGGTTAGCTTCGGTTTGCGTCCATTAGCGTCGAGTAGCGCAGAGAAGCGTCGATTAGCGTCGATTCGCAAGAGCCGACAAAATGGTATGGGAGGCTCCCATGCGTTGCCACCGAAGGCTCCCCAGACCTCGTAGTCATGATTTGCAGACGACGTCGACCCCCAGAGGTATCGACCCATTCCCCTGGACTGGCTCTTCATCCCGAGTCGCGTCTTGACGGCCATCGGGTCCGGCAAGGGCTCCCACAGGCGGCAAAAGGCTTGAAGCCTTCCGTCGTGATTTTTCCTGGCAGGCTCCCAGAACCAGCTCCCAGAACCAGCTCCGCGGACGACATGTGTGCGCCGTACCGCGTTGGCGCCTCTCGAGGTGTCGCCGATCCTCGACCCAGGGATGGTGCGGTGCACAGCTTTTCGGCCCTCAGAACAAGAAGAGCATGCTCCGCACCGCGCTCGGGCGGGGCCCGAGGGGAGTCCGGACATGGCGCGGTGCCCGCGCGCCGTCCTCGGATCCACGCAGCATCTGATCGGTGCTGCCGACCGTCCTTCCCTTGGGCCCCGCCGGTGCCCCGGTCCTTCTTCGCCCTTCCCCCCCCCGCGCGCCAAGCGCCGCCAGGCGGGCGTGGTGTGCGCCCAGGCCACGACAGAGGCCTCCCTCCGGGGGGCCAGGGGGCCAGGGGCAGCCTTTGGGGGCGGGAGGGGCCGAGGGGCTGGCGGCGGCCAGCCCGCGGGGGAAGTGCGAGGGGGCGGGCCTTCTCCGAAGGCTCGGAGGTCCCACGGCCCTTCCAGGGAGTCTCCTGGGCCTTCCCCGAAGACGCTGGGACCTCCTCGGGAGAAGAGGAGCCCCGCCGCCTTCATTGTCGGGGCCTCCTCTTTTTCCCACCTTCCCCCCCCGCTCGCCGCCGAGTCTGGGCATGGCCTCTGAGCGGACCGGGCCTCGCCCCCCCCTGGCCGATTCCCTTCCGGGGTCGCGGCCAGCTCGGGCCCCGAGGAGGAGGAGGAGGAGGAGGAGGAGGAGGAGGAGGAGGAGGTGGAGGAGGAGGAGGAGGAGGAGGAGGAGGAGGAGGAGTTGTTGTTGTGCTGGGGGAACCGGGGCCGCCTCCGAGCCTCGGGGGCCCGGTGGGCTGGCCAGGTGCAGCGCCCGGGGGGGGGGGGGGGCGGCGGGCTAGAGGCTCGGGGGTATGCGGTGGGCTCGCGTCGTTGCGACCAGCGGCGACCCCGCCGCCGGCCTTCCAGCGCGGAACGCCGCCGGCGACGCCGAGTCTGCCGATGTTGAGGGAGCTGACTCGGAAGCCGGGCAAGGGGTGCTAAATCCGTGGCTGCTAAAATCGACCTCCGAGAAGTTGTCTTCGTCCTTCCGGGAAGAAGCCCGTTGATTGTTTCGCGTGCCGCGCTTCATTCTGGGAAGTTGTTTTTTCCTTCCGGGAGGGCCGTCTTAGCAGCCACGGTTTTAGCAGCCCTCGCCCAGCCTCCGACTGACGATGCGGAAGCGCCCGATCGTTCGAGGCTGAACGATGCCCGCGGTGTCGGGAACCAACGCCGGAGTCGACACGACACGAACCCGCCGTAGGGGGGACGCCTCAGCCACCCATCGCCCACTCTTCGCCGCCGGGGGGCCGACGGCCCACCCCGCCCGGGAACGCGCGGCTTCGCCGTCGGTGGGCCGGCCGCCGATGCGTCGGCGATGCGTCGTCGATGCCGGCTCGATGCTTGCCCCCCTGAGCTGGTCCACCCCCCACGTTCCTTGGGGCTCGCTGAGCGTGGGGAGGGGAGGCTGTATACGGCGTTGTGTACCCGGTTGTTTTGCACTCGGCATGCGCACTCGGTTGTGCATTCGGTTGTGCACTCCGTTGTGCTCTCGATTTTGTGTACTCGGTCGTGCGTTGTGTACTCGCTCGTGTACTCGGTTGTGTTGTGTGCTCGGTTGTGCACTGTATGCAGTGCTGTACGCGGCGGGGGCTGTTTTGTGCACTCGGCTCGGTGCTGGCGGCGTGGCCGGCGCCCCCCCCCCTGGGCGCTGATCAAGCAGCGCAGCATGTCCCTTCTCGGTCGCCCTCGCGGCGGCGCGCCCGGGGGGAGGTGGGAAGGGACAGGCCGCCGTAGGGGGCAGCGGGGCTTCTCAGAGGCCCCCTGGCCTTCGGTGCCTTCGGAGAAGGCCCAGATAACTCTTCCGAAGGCCCGAGGCCGTCCCAGCCTCCCGAGAAGGCCCGCCCCCTCTCGCTCCCCCCCTGGGCTCGCCGCCGATCCGCTTCCTCGTTCTCCGCCCGTTCTGCTCGGGGCACGACGGGTTGCGCGGTCCTTTACCCTTAGAAGACACGGGATCGCTCGATCGCCTCACATACTGCGGGTGTCAGGGGGGGGGGCTTTCTGGCAACACATCCTCCCGCTCCTGTGAGAGGTGGGGGTCCATCGAACAACGATAACAAACATGCGTGCGTTGTTCTTGCTGCTGTAGCTGTTTTATTATTATTATTATTATTACTATTGTGGTTGTGGTTGTGGTTGTGGTTGTGGTTGTTGTGATTGTTGTTGTTATTGTTGTTGTTGTTGTTGTTGTTGTTGTTGTTGTTGTTGTTGTTGTTGTTGTTGTTGTTGTTGTTGTTGTTTTATTGTTTTGTTTTTGTTGGTGTTATGTTTGTTGTTGTCAGTATTGCTGTAGCTGTTGATGTTGCTGTTGTTGTCGCTGATGCTGTTGATGTGTTTGAAGGTTGTTGCTGATGTTGCTGCTGCTCTTGTTGTGGTTGTTGTTGTTGTTGTAGTCGTCGTTGTTCGTGATTGTTCGTTGTTGTTTTTGTTATCGCTATTGTTGGTGTGGTTGTTGATAGTTCTTATTGTTGTTGTTGTGGCCATTGTTTTTGTTGTTGTTTTTGTTATTGTTGTTATTAGTATTGTTGTTGTTGTTGTTGTTGTTGTTGTTGTTGTTGTTGTTGTTGTTGTTGTTGTTGTTGTTGTTGTTGTTGTTGTTGTTGTTGTTGTTGTTGTTGTTGTTGTTGGGGGGGGGGGCGGGGATGGTGGTTGTTGTCGCTGCTGTTGCGGCTGCTGCTGCTGTTGTTGTTGCTGCTGTTGTTGTTGTTGTGGTTGTTGTTGTTGAAGTCTCATTTCTGAATAATTATTGTTGATCCACCCCACCGGTGCACACTGTTTTTTCTCAATCAAAGTGTGCCCCTCGAC